GGAGGGGGATGGGGAATCTAGGATGGGAAAACAAAAGGCAAGGTATGCAGGACACAAGAATTGGGAAACTATTTGCTGAGAACATATATGGTGACGTGCTTGATTGAGCCAATGCACAGTGTATTTTGAATGGAAAATTCATTTGTGTGTTGTAATGGAAAAAAAATAATAATAAAAAATAAATTATAAAAAAAAAAAAAGAATTCAGGGGTTGAAGAGATTAGATTTTTATCCAGCTGAAAGTAGAAGTTCAAGGAAAGTTCCTAGAGGTTTGGCATTAGGGTTTTAGAAAGACTCATCGGATGATAGCATTTAATATACAAAGGAAGGACCAGAAAGAGCCTAGAAGGGGAAGAGGTCAGCGAGAAGGCTACTGCAGTACCTTGGGCAGGATAAGGACCTGAACACAGTGCAAATAAAAAGGGGGGGGGCAGGGAGTCATAGAAAAAGGATCTTCAGGAACCATTTGCTGGGTCCTTCATCTCTGATTCCAAAAAGAAGTCATATGCATCATTTACTTTATTTTTATTATTATTATTATTATTATTATTATTAGGGCTCTTCCTGAACCTCCCCTTTAGACAATGCCCTCTCACGATCACTCTCGTACTTGCCAAGCACAAGTAATTACTGATCTGGGGTATATTTGTTTCTTTAAGCAACTGTGGCTAAAAAATTGAGGATAAAAAGAAGAGAATAGTCTTTGAAGTTTTGTCCTACATGGAAAAGTAAAGCAGAACCAGGTGTAAAGGAAACCACAGACTTGGAAAAAAAAAAGAAAAAGAAGGACCAAGAGGTAATTTTCCATACATTTTCTCATGAAACTGTAAGTATCTTTTACAGAAATGCTTTCCCTGAGGAGAGGTTGTTCAGAGGATCTAATTAAACAGGGTATGTTTAGGACAAATGAAGTAGCCATACCTGTGCCCGTGTTATAAGAAGAGTCAGTGCTGCCGCCTTAGCGCTTTTCTTTGACATATTGGATCTTGGCCTCGCTGCAGGCCCACTCTAACCCAGGCACCATGGAGTCTCCAGCTGAGATGAGCTGGAGAACGGGCACAGTTCATCAAAGCAATGTAGGGGGTCACTCTAAAAGAACTTGCCTTTAAGAGCTTAAATCTAAACCATTGACCTCACGACTAATCACGTATGTTTACCAACCCAGCTATCAGTTATAACAAAAACACCATCTTGTTCTCCTTGCGGGATATTTAGTGTCCTAGACTTTCCTACTCAAAATCAGAAGTTATAACAAAAACACCATCTTGTTCTCCTTGCAGGATATTTAGTGTCCTAGACTTTCTACTCAAAATCAGAAGCTTTTCTTTTTCTTTTCTTTTTATTTTTTTTTTTTTGAGAGGTTTTCGCTATAGGGCACGTGCACTCGCCAGACAGACAGAGAGAGACATAGAGACAGAAAGCGAGAAATCACCCCCCAGGGGGGATGGCCACGCCGCAATCCCTTCTCCTCCATTCTCCTCTCGTGACCTTGGGCACGCACACACGCCCGGCGTGAGTTCTAAGCCACTGGGCCCAGGAAGTGAACCATGGTCGACAACGTGGGAATCTAGCGACGTAGCCATTACGCTAACTGCTGGTTCCCAAAATCAGAAGCTTTTCTATGCATTGCTATTGAAGAGTTATGCTTCATGTATAAAAATCAGAATTGACCATCTATTTCAATGTTGAATGATTATCTCATTTTTTACATTTCTCACTTAAAAAAAATAGAAAAAAAAATTGGGGAATGGCAGGTGGTGTGGTGGTTAAGGTGCTGGATTCTCAAATAGTCGACCACAGTTCAAGGAGCAGATCTAGTGGCTTATATTTTTTCATTTTCTCTCTCGTCTCTCTGTGGTCAAGTTCTATATAAAGAAAGAAATAAGTAATTTTTCAAATAAAACATGTTTTTATGTGCGCTGACTATAACAAGAAAGGAAAAATCTGTCCCTGTCAGTCGTTCAGATTCATATAAGCCCTAATTGCCTCATCGCCCATAATTTTGCCACCACTTTACAATTAGCAGGCATTGCTCATGCATGAGTTGACCCAATTACATAACAAATTTTGCCTTTGGGGATTTCTCTTCACTGCTTGTCTTCTGTCCACCATACAACTCAATTTCACACTGTCAGCAGCCTGAACGTGGTTACAGTCAGTCTCTGTCAAAATGATTTATTTAAATTACAAACAGAGACCAAATCCCTAGCTAATCATCCCTACCCTCACGTTCACCCTGACACTCAACCTAACTTTGAATCGAATCTTTGAACAGTCCATCGACACTGCTATTCAATTATTGGGCAATGTTTAGTCCCAATAATCTAATATGTTTGATGCTAACGCACAAAATCTCAGGGAACGAAGTCAGCAGTATCCATGTGAGCTTATTAATGGGCAGATGATTTATCTTATATTCTAAGAAGCCAAGGAAAAATTACGGAGCTGTATCAAAAAAGCCAAAGATAATGCCGTTTCAATATCGAGGCACAGAGAGGTGTTTTGTTTTTTTTTTCTATAAAGTTTAAAAAGTGGCTTCAACCTTAGTCTTTCTTGTAAAGCAAGCAAGCATTTTTCATGAATGGATGTACTGAAGAGAAAGTGGTAACAAAAAAGGGTGTTTGGAAAACAGGACAATTACAAAGCCCAGTTACAGACATTGGCAGAGTAAGGAAAACAATACGGGGCGCGTGAACTCCTCACTTGTCTGGAGATCGGTGATCTAAGAAAAGGGGAGTCTCCGAGATACAGGAGCACCTACAGACACAGAAATCCAAGAGGGAGCTCTTCCAAAAGTTCACAAAAAAATGTATACTGTGAAAAAATTATGTATGGATTTCAACCTTTTTTTCATGCCAAAACACACTTGTACTTTCAGCCCATTTATCCGCAACCTCTTGGAATCCTCCTCCTATGACTTCCTTCAGAACAGGCTCGCCTTCTGCGAAGTCAAATGGCGGGACACTTACTATTTCTGTGACTGCGAGATACACGACTTGGTCAGCTCTTTCTTTTTCCCTTCCCCTTTCATAAGATATGTTCTTCTCCCTGAAATAAACGAGAAAACAAACATCCAGTTTTTTATCTACAACACAGGCCTGTAAAAGTCTCACAGGATTTGACTTTACCATTTATTTCACAATTTATCCCCAGACTGTCTCAGCTAACTGAAAGCACGGCTTACACGAGTGTGTAAACAGGCAGAAGGAACCCCATCGATAATCTTCTGGAGGCTGGACTGAGGCCCTGGGAGAGCTCATGACGAGTCCGCCTCGTCACCACGCTGCGGGGACCCTGAATGCACTCCTTACAACAGGAAGGTGGTCATTACTGAAATTAGAGCCCTTAGAACTAGCCACAGCTACAATGACAACACAAATCAAAGGTTTTTGTATTTTTTTAATCCCCAAGGATGCAGTACTCCTCAGCTCGTATTTGTACATTGTCCTGTTAAGAACATTTTTCCTAAAGTATTATTAAATGAAGAAAACGTGGAGGTGTGCAGGGACATTTCTGCCATAGCTGAAATTATGCCCTGGAATTTGTAGGCAGGGAGGGAGTGGATGGCAATTAAGGGACTTAATTGTGAAAATCTGCAGGGCAGGGCTTTCTGGCCCACAGTCTCTAAGTCAGCTCTGTCCACAACGGTTGCCAGGCTGCTGAAGAGACACACTGCAAGCAAAACCTGGGCTCCTAAACACGATCTTCAATTAGTGTTTGGCTGGGTTTCCTGACTTCCCATAAAACCTATTCCCAAGCCCAATACTCAGTTTCATAAGCAACCCGTCAAACTCCATCTGAATATTAATACACTCAATGAAATAAAGACATCTTCTAGAATTTCGTGGAAATGAAAAGAACTGTATTTTAGAAGCCAAGTTCTATTTCTTTCCAACCATTCAGTCAATCTGAAATCCCACCTTTTTTCTTATTCTTTCTACAGCCATACTAAGTGGGTAACGTAGCAGAAGAATTTTAAATGGCAGGATTTAATAAATCTCCTTTGTTCAATATGTTATCATTGTAGATACCAAAAGGAAGAAGGCAGGGCTAACCCACTCTCACCCCTTTCATTACACACAATTTGAAATGTACGAGTGTATTTTACCCCACAGCTCAGTAACATATGCAGGCGGAATGGGCATTTCCAAATGATTTCAAATCCTGGACAAATGAACATCAGAGTGGCTGAAAAAATTTCATAACATTGACAGAGACACAAGCAATCAAAAATGCCCATTCATCCATAACATATTACCCCACACACCTACGAGCTGTCATCAAACCCAGTGCTTCATGTCTTCATACTTTCTTTTGTCCGAAGGGGATTAAAGCCATCTTAGAGACAACCACACAGTATTCAAAAATAAGATACACTAAAAACAAATATGAAAAAGAAGCAAAAAGAGAAATAAAGATTGCAAAGACCCCCGACTTCATTAACCCACCTACATCAACCTGTAATAACCTTGGCCTCCCAAATCTCATATCCCTAATCATTTTCAGGATGAGTCAGCATCCTGATATCCCAGCATCTCTAGCTGGAAGATTCTGGGCTTTTTCCAGTCTAGACACTTTCTCACTTTCTTCCTCTCAAAACAGACACAATCCAGGCCACTGTCAAAAATATCTGTCTGGGGGCTAGCCAATATTTTTCAGTGGGTTTAAATGAAAGTAATATTGAAAACGAAACTAGCCAAAGTACTACTTTCCAGATCAACCCAAGTTTCTTACAGAAAAAGATTCTTGAGTAATATGGAAAACTCAGTGAGGTAACGGAAAAAGTTCATAAAGTTGTAGTCTTACAAATGCATAATAAATTCACCAGACCTCAGAATATTTAACAGTCTTCCTTTTTTGAGAGTGGGTCTCTAACAGTAATATTCTGAAGTCTATATTTTTTACTACTATCCAAACATTAATATGTCTCATCATAGCTAAAAGAACTATTTATAAAACCACTATGACCATTAAAGTGAAGACACTGCCAAAAGATGTTTTTAAAGGTGTCTAAATTATATACTGTGTAAGATTTGCATTGTCTAAGCTATAGACCAAATCTAAATGGTATTTTGTATATACTGCTATGAATATGATAAAATTAGATTCATACGTACCTGTGTTATAAGAGTTTTTGCATAATTAAGAATGGATCTGCAAACGACCTCTGGTATTGAATAAAATGTATATTCCTGCTAATGATAAAGGTTGGTGAAATGATCAGTTCTTTTCTAATTAAATATGAATACTGACTTAATTTGAATATAAATTAAAAGGCTTACCTTTGAATACGCTGCACTCCTTACATTAGCTGTCATGCAGATGTCTTAAGTAGAAAGGCTCAGTTCTTTTTGAAATACATTTCAGTGATAGTCGAAGATTCATGACGTAACTTTGTGTTTTGCAGCATTATTTTTATTTTTAAACAAAAAAAGATTCTTTGAAAATAATCCAAGGAAGAAATGCTACTGAATGTAACTGCTGCTAGAATGTATTTGCATTTTTAAAACCAAAAAATAGGTGTGTGGTTTAAAGAAAGGATAGAGAGGAAGAAGAAAAGTGAAGGGAGTGATCTTTGGTTTTCATGACTGGCAAGTTGTTGTGATGGGCAAGCAAAACTAAGGGAGAAAATGTCATGAATCCTTAAAATTCAACTATTTCTCTTCCAAGGACAAAAGTGCTTACTCATATAAAATGCCATTTTAAAAAACAAACAACATAAACCTTAGGGAATATGGGGGAAAAGATTGTATACTTTGCCTCCTTTCACTAAATTTTTAAACATTAAATAAGTGTGGTTTTGAACTTCTAATAAATAAAATTTCCCCCAAATAATTCTCTATAATTCTATCAGCAAATTGTATGAATATGAATATATAGATACATGTATCCACATATGTTCCATGAAGAATGCAAAACATCAGTGGGTTTAAAACAATCTGATTACACATTTCCTGAAAAGTAAGGATGTATCACTTATGAGGTAACATCTAGATACACAAAAGTTAGTGACTGGACACGTGACACACAATCTACCCCTCTCGTGAACAATGGTAGGAGTTCTGCATGTTCATTCACACTTTTGCATCACGTACACAGTGGTGGATTTTAACTTATAGTTCCTCTTGGGTACCTAACATTGAACCAATTTTTCTGTGGGAAAAAAATACATTTTGACGCACTTCATACAAGTCCGTGGAGGAAACATAATCAGAAATCTGAATGACAAAATTTGAGAGTAGCTGTTTATCCCCCTTTAATAACAACAGAATGAATACTTTCCAGTCCCTAATATGTTTTGTACTTCCTACTCTTCTCGATGTTTGTTTATTCAAGTACAATGTATTACTAAATAAGACACAAGTTTTAAAGTCCAAAGGACCTGCCTACATAAAGGTGTATTGCAAAAATTAAATATATTTTTTCAACAAATAGCTGAAGTATGCAATCTTACATAGACATAATTAGCAAATAAGGCATTTGGAAAAACACTGAACCTGGTTAGCATATTTTCTGTGCTTAGCCTCTGCAAAAAATTAACTGCCATGTTTCTGAACTGAATGACAAATTTTAGACAACCCAAACGCTGAGTGGCATCCAGAATGGAAGCAGAAGGTACTCTATCAGGACGACTAAATGCTGGGCTCCAGGTAACCGAGCCAGAGGGACAGGGCTGAGTGGAGGAGGGGGTGTATCTGCCACGCACACCGAGCACTGCTTGCACACCGGAGAACAAGCACACTTCCGCGTGGCCCAGTCCAACCTCATCAAGTCAGGGCTCTCGAGTCACCTACGTTACTGATTTGTTCCTGAGTCCTCTTCAGTCTCTGCAGTTCCGGAGTGTCTGTGACGATGCTGAAGCCCCTCCCTTTGCTTTCTTCAAAATCTCTTTTATACTTGACCTACCAAAGAAGGGGGGGGAAATAAAAGGAAAAAAAAGAAAAAGTATAAACAAAAGAATCACAAATCCCACTCAAGATAAGCTGGGCTAAGGAGGCTCCCAAAATTGGAAGCCATGCTCACAAATATGGCCACAGGGCACACCGGACTGCCTAGTTGTGTCCTGGCAACACCAAGTACTAGCTGTGTAGCTCTCTGCAAGCTCCTCAGCCACTCTGTGCCACTCCCTGCCACTCTGTACTTCAGCGCTCTCACCTGTAAAACGGTGGTTAACAGCAGCTATTTCATAGGTGGTAGCGACTAAGGCACAGCTGTGGGTGGTCGGAACCAGTCAGTACTCTGTAACAGTTATCTCTATTGTCATCATGAATAGTGTCACTACTCAAAGAAAAACGATGTGAGAAAACAAAGCTGAGTCTACTACTCCCACACCCATCTTGTCACTGAAAAGCGGCCTTCTGAGCCTGGACTGCCTATGGAGGAGGGAGACAAACAAACCAATCGCCAGTCCCGGCCTTAAAAAGCTTTAGTGGTTGAGGGCACAGGACTCCCACATGGCTGACTGAGGTTCAAGTCCCAGACTTGGCAGCTTGCTCATTCTCTCTCTTTCTCTGTCTCTCCCTCTCTGTGTGTGTCTCTCTCTCTGGTCAAATTGAAAAATAATTATAATAAATAAATAAATAAATAAATAAAATAAAGTTCAATAAAATCTTCTTTAAATAATTAATTAATTAATTGATTAAAACAAAATTTTTAAAAAGAAGCTTTCATAGGGACCAGCAGGTGGCATGGTATGGTGGTTGTGGGCACTGGACTCCCACATGGCAGTGCAAGTCCCGGACCTGGTAGATTGCTTTTTCACTTTCTCTCTCTCTCTCTCTCTCTCTCCCTCCCTCCCTCCCTCCCTTCCTTCTCTGGTCAAATTAAATAAATAAATGAGCAAATGAAGTTGAATAAAATAATTCTTTAAGAAAAAAAAAAGACATTTTCATTCTGGAAACCATCAAATGGCATAATGGTTACATCACTGGACTCCCACAGAGTCGACCATAGTGTGGGGCCCACACCTGATGCTTAAAACTCACACCATGTGCGTGTGTATGTGTGTGTGCCCAAGATTCCGAGAGGAGAATGAAGAAGAAGGGATTGTGGCATGGCCAACCCCTCTGGGGAGGGGAGTGATTTCCTGCCTTCTGTCTCTCTGTCTCTCTCTGTCTCTCCAGTGAGCACACGTGCCCATAGTAAAAATTCTCTCTTAAAATAAAAAGTTTTCATTCTGTTTCATAAGGCAGAGCATATGGCTATGATTACATAGCACTGTGTTGCCAAATGTCAAGTATATAAATGCTTACGAAAACATTTATAAAATGGGCCACACCTAGAGATTAAAAGCTTCTCACACATGCCCTGGGCATACTGTGTGCTGAAGTGCCTAAGATTTTTTCCTATTTAAATACACTTCTTTTCTAATTACAACCCAATGAAGCTGAATTTTACTGTCTCCTGGGGGGACAGAGAGCTAATGCTTAATCTTATGGAGTCCCATCTCCTATCATTAGCATAATGACAATAACTGTCACGCCAGTTAAATATTCTGCTTGTTAATGGCTAAGATGGTCACATCATTTTGGCTGTTCTTATTTTTTTTTAAGCCCAATAGCAGTAAATATGGAAACATATTTTGTTAATCCATATAATCCTCAATTTACATTCAAAATTACAAATCTCAGATTAACATTTAAATTAGTAATTAAAATTTAAGGTAGCTTATAAAAACATAATTCTATTATGTGTAGCGTTGTGTGCGTGTTTGGGAAGTCCGCTTAGCGAAGCACAGAAGACTGTTTCTGTCGAGTCACGCTGTATTCATGCTCTCTGGAGCATCACTATCTTGAGGCAACTAGGTTTTCTTTCACCAGAATAGACTGGGGGGATAAAACGACAATGGATAGAAAGTTCTAGACACTCGTCACTTTGAACCTTAGAATATCTCATTTTTCGAGGCCAGCAGGTGGCGAAGCGGTTGAGGTGCTAGAATTCCCCGTGGCCGACTATGGTTCGCGTCCAGGACCTGGTGGTTTTGCTTTCTCAGTTTTTTTCTCTCTGTCTCTCTCCAATGAGCACACATGCCCTATAGCAAATTTTAAAATGATAACAATAATAAAAAATAAAATGAAATACTCTTCTAATTTTCTCATTTTCTTTGAATAGTTTCATTTACATTTATAAAAGTACTAAAACCTTTTAGTAGATTTTAACTAATCCCATAAACAAAAGGCCAATGGAACTGTGAGGTTTTTCTTCCACAGAAAATGCTGAGTGAGAATACCCTTCTCGCCTCCTCCCCCCAGCAGGTGTGAAGACACACTGGCACATTCTCAGTGCCTTATGCTTAACCCAGCAAGAGAGCCGAGTGGTTTTGCTGGTAGTAAGCAGGAGGGCACAGTGTGAAGTCATGAAAATGAGAAAGATGAGAAGCCGTGACAGCAACAGGTAATGAAGGTGCACGAAGCAAAGAGGATAAGCCCAGTTCTAGCATCTCTGACAGCCATTTGTGAGAAGGTATAATCCCCTATCCTCTGTGTGTCTGTTTTTAAGTTTTACCTCATGTTTGTGCAGGACGGAGAGCATATGTGCACACAGGAAAGAGAGAAGCATGCCCAGCAGGGTCTCCCCACACCATGACTCCCCCATCTCCAGTGTGTGTCGGGTCCAGAACAAGCGGTCTGCCGGGCGCTTCCTGCGCTGTAGACCAACACATGCCAGCTGGACCCTCCAACCCGGACCTTCTTTTTGTTATTCGGATTTTTAACATAGCAGTTTCAAAGAAAAAAGTACAAAGAGTAAGTTCTAAAATTACATGTTTTGAGCTGATTACCATTCCACAGTCCCTTTCTACAACCACAAGACCCTACGAATCATCTGAGGGGCCAGCAGATGGCGTCATGGCTAAGTTGCTGGACTCCCACGTGGCGACCGCGATTTGAGTCCTGGACTCAGTGACTTGAAACTCACACCGATCACATCACATGTGCACGCGTACATGCCCAAAATCCCAAAAGGAGAATGGAGGAGAAGGAACTGCAGGGGTGATTTCTCATTTTGTCTCTCTGTCTTCCTCTATGTCTTAAGTGAATGCACACACCCTATAGCAAAAATCTGTCTTAAAAAAAAAAAAAAAAGAGAGAGAGAGAGAATCATTTGATTTGGACATGACTAGTTTGAAAAGTGTACAATCATCTCTCTAAATGATGTGCAGTTTTAGAATTTGCTTATTCCTTTTAATGGTAGAACACA